GAAGCTTTGCCACAGCCGGTGTGGCATGGTGGGTTCAAAATACCAGCTGCTCCTCAGGCTTAAAGTGAGGCTGCCGGCTTCTGTAAAGATGGTTCCTGGGCCAGCCCTTCCCTGCCCTACATGCTCGCCCCGTGCCGGCAGTTTTGCTAATTGAGAGCATAGAGGATGAATGGAAATAGCTTCAGCACTGACCTCCCGGTCTATCCTCCTGCCCTCCAGCTCCCTGATGGCTCCAAGATACCCCCCCCCCCCGTCCTGCTGGGCAAGCTGGGCTCGGACCCCAAGAAGAAGACGGTGTGTGTCTACAGGCACCTGGACATGCAGCCGGCCGCCCTGGAGGATGGCTGGGACAGCGAGCCCTTCACGCTGACCGAGCGCGATGGTAGGAGCCACCCCATCCCCGCAGCCCCCAGACCGCCCTGCACGTCAATGACCCAGGCCCAGGGACGTGAGGGTAGGAGCCAGGCCCTGGGTCCTTGAACCCCCAGACTGCCCCACTTGGTCACCAAAGGTCTCCACAAGCCTCCCGGCTCTGACCTTTCCTGCTCAGGTCATCTCTCACTTTTCCTGGAACCAGGAAGCGTCCCATAGCCAGCTGACACATGCCACACAGCAGCCACACAGGGTCAGCAAGGTCAGCATTCACCCTGAGGGAGAAAGAGGAGCCTGTCTTTGCCATAGAGACTCAAGCCTTGGGAGCCCCCAGAGGCAGTTCTGCTCCGCCCTGTAGGGTCTATATTGGTCTGAATTTGCTCCAAGACATGGGTTTGGTTTGAGGGGTTTTGAGGTGCCTTCTTTCACATGGATCATGCCCTCCTTGGCCTGGGGCTCTGCCCATCACCCGCTCCCTCCGTCCCCAAACCTGTCTCCTAGTCCCCAGGTCTCCTAGTCCCCTAGTAGCCGCTGAGGAGACAAGGTCAGACACACACCCCCTCCTCATAGGCTTACACCCTACCCCTACCAAGATGCAAGATGCTGTCTCGCCCACCCTCACATCAAGCAAAGCCCCAGAGGATAGGGATGGAGTTGTGACCATCTTTGCAAAGCGCCTTGGTCAATGACTGCTGCCCTGAGGGCTGGCAAGGAGAGCCCTGCTGGAGAAAGTGTCACCCCTGATGCGCAAGGGTGCCCGCCTTGGCAGCCCTGCCTGGTGGAATGGGCCTGATGTCTGGGTTCTAAATTCCGGTTTGGTTTTATCACACAGAAAAGGGGTGGGAGGCTTGTCATGGTCTTCAGTCCAGACAACAAGAGGATGAGGATGGTGCAGGACCAGGCAGTGTCCCGCTCCT